TACCCCCGCTTCTCTTTGCAGGTCCTGTGGGCTGCCAGCCCCCCCCACCCCACCCCCTCCTGCTGCGCACCCCGGGGATGCGATAGCAAGTGTCAGCATTTCTCTTCCCACCGGCTGTAAAGAGCCCTTTGTCACTATGAGAAACGCTGTCCCCGTTTAAACCTCATAGGGAGACTGAGGTCTGGTCTCCTCGTGAATTTGTAGGCAGCCAGCCAGAGGCAAGAGGTAGGAATAGAGGGATCTGCACTGCCAAACTGGCACCTAGTTCTGAAACTCAAGGTCCGTTTTCAAGTCCTACTGCTTTCTGGTCTGGAGTTTTGTCTGTGTCCGTTAAAATCAGTACAGCACTGTCTGTGTGCGCCTTCTGAGTCTGTGAAGGTCCCTTGGGCCACCCCTTTGCCTGTGCAGCTGGCAGAGACGACTGTGAGAGGACATAGAGATGTGTCATAGAAAGGCTGGGACAACCTCTCACCTTTCATCTCTGAGTTTCACGCATCCCAGCTTTTTTAAGGAGAACGTTGCCTGCTATGTCATTACTTCCTTTTTTTTTTTAATTACGTTTTAGGTATAATGGGTATTATCCTGCATAGAATTTTTCTAATCGTCTCTCTGGTCTTGTAACTCTAGTAAACAATTAGAGCTATACTTTACATTGTCACTGTAACCAGTGGTGTCCCTGGTCTTATGTCACATTTCAAAGTGGTTTGGGGTGAAAGATTTGCCCAGGTGCCCCTACGCTTCTCTTGGTGCTCCTCCTTTTTCCTCCGTTTGCTTTCCAAACCGAGGACCCCCTGCTTGTCATATGGTCACTGTGCATGACTGGTGCTTTCTGCCCTGCCAACCTTTACCGCTTACTGCCTTCCAGGGATGAGCTTAAGCGGCACTATAACCTGAGTCAGTACTGGGTGGAGGTGGAGATGGAAGACCTGGCCAGCTTTGATGAAGATCTCGCCGACTATCTGTACAAACAACCAGCGGAGCACCTGCAGCTGGTAAGGATGGAGTGGGTGGGCAACCTGGCGCGCTGACATCATCACATTGTGAGAGCAGCCCTGATGGCACACTGTAATATACCCCTAATAGCCTAGTTCTTCCCTTTCTAGTTGGAAGAAGCAGCAAAAGAAGTCGCCGATGAGGTCACCCGTCCTCGTCCTTCGGGGGAGGAAGCTCTCCAAGACATCCAGGTCATGCTGAGATCGGATGCCAACGCAGCCAACATCCGCAGCCTGAAGGTGAGGCGAATCCGCTGCCGCACAGAGCGGTGAGCAGCAGGGCTTGCTCGTGTGTGGGTGTGATGGCAGCAAAGCTTTCGGCACTTCTGGACGTGGGTCGTACACTAATTTTTCAAGCAGGGATCCTCTGCAGCTTAAATCTAACTGCAAAGGATTGTTATTACTGGTTCCTGCTGTGGGGTTGTTATTGCTATTAGTGACGTTCTACATACAGTATTTTGTCCTTTTCTCTTTTGTTTTGAAATCGGCACGGCTGAAGTCATGCATCCTTCCCCTGCTACTCTAGAACAAGAGAGTGACATTGTCAAGAAGCTCGGGCTTTTTTGTTCCGGCGCCTTAGTCCTATGAGTGTGGGATGTGTAGCTAAGAACGAACTGTGTTTCTTTAATATCTTGAGTTTCTCATCCATCCTCCAGTGACAGCTTTTCTCACCTTCCCTTTACCTTTTCCCTTCCAGTCCGACCAGATGTCCCACCTTGTGAAGATCCCTGGCATCGTAATTGCAGCAACTCCTGTGAGAGCCAAAGCCACCAAAATAGCCATTCAGTGCCGCAGCTGCCGTAACACCATCAGCAACATTGCGGTGCGCCCGGGCCTGGAGGGTTACGCTCTCCCCAGGAAATGCAACACGTAAGGACTGATATGGGGATGCTGGTGGAGGGAAAAAGACTGCGTCCTCTCCTCCTGCTCCTGCCCATCCCATGCCTGCTGCATAGAGTCAGCTCCCCGTCACACACAGCAGAAGCATCTGTGCTGCTCTCTGCCTGTTCCCTTCATGTTGCCCTCGTGCCCGCGTGCACCCATGGCTGGCAGGTTTTAGTTCCATCTGTCTGCAGCCATGCTGGTAATGGCGCTGCATGACCAGTGCTGCAAACTGTGTCAGTCAGCTGTGTCTGGGGAGTTCTTTATGGCTGCAGAAAAGGCATGGACCTGTTGGAGCGGGTCCAGAGGAGGGCCATGAAGGTGATCAGAGTGCTGGAGCACCTCTCCTGTGAGGAGAGGCTGAGAGAGCTGGGGCTATTCAGCCTGGAGAAGAGAAGGCTCCGGGGAGATGTTATTGCGGCCTTCCAGTACCTAAAGGGGGCCTACAGGAGAGCTGGGGAAGGACTTTTTACTAGGGCATATAGTGACAGGATGAGGGGGAATGGCTTCAAACTGGAAGAAGGTAGATTTAGATTAGATGTTAGGAAGAAATTTTTCACGCTGAGGGTGGTGAGGCACTGGAACAGGTTGCCCAGGGAAGTTGTGGATGCCCCATCCCTGGAGGTGTTCGAGGCCAGGCTGGATGGGGCTTTGAGCAACCTGGTCTAGTGGGAGGTGTCCCTCCCCATGGCAGGGGGGCTGGAACTTGATGATCTTCAAGGTCCCATCCAACCTAAACCATTCTATGATTCTATGACACATTGCCTGTTGTACCTAAAGGTTCATTCCTGCCTCCAGCTGCCCCATAATGCTGCGTTAAGCTGCTGTCTCAACTTCCTATTTAGTGCTTATCTTTTTCAAACAAACTTCTTGCTTCTATGTTCCCCCTCCCCGGGAGGCTGTTTTGCGTTACCTTCTGTAGGGATGCTTTGCTGCCAACTTTCAAATCCCACTTTACAGCTCCTGATGCCCATGCGAGCCGTGGGCATCGGGCTACTGCTGTGCTGCAGCTCTCGCACCGACCGATCCTGGTGGGTTGTGTCTTCAAGCTCGTGCCTGCCAGTATTCATTTTCTGCACCTTATCTCTAATGCCGTTTGAGAGGCCTTTAGGATAGGGACCGTTCTTGAGTGCGGTGGGTTCAGCGCTTGGCTTCTCATCCTCCACTGCATGAGTGCATCTGCACTCGTGTTGCCCTCCCCAAAAGTCCTGTCCCCACCTGCATGGATTCAGGCGTCGGTAGTGATGTACTGAGATGGCAGCAGGACGTGGAGGTGCTCCTCATTTTGGAGAGCTTGTAGCCTGGCGAGGCAGCTCTGTCTCGAGAGACTGGGAGGTCGATGGCAGCCTCGTCACGTTGCTAATTGCTTTCTCGCCGGGAACCGCTTAACATTTGCTTCGTGTGTGAGGTTACAAAGAAAAATGCCCTGCCATATCGCCGAGTCTATACTGTTACCTTCTGTGTAATTAATGAATTGCCTTCCTCCCCGCTTTTAGCGAGCAGGGGAGAGGGGGGAGGCAGGGCGAGTATTCAGGCAAGTGTCACCCTGTCTTTGGCTTGTTCTTGTGCCTGCTTTTGCCAGCTGTTGAAGACGAGACAGAGGGCTTGGGGAGCTTTTGGTTCGGCCCTGCGTGACTGCCTTTCTCACCTGCTGGGTGCTGCTGGGAGGGGTGGCTGCTCTGGGCCCTGTCACTGCCGTTCCCTCTACAGGGGGACTCCCAGGGGTGGCTCTCGAGGGCCAGCAGCCTTCCCTGACGGATCTCTCTGCACAGGGAACAAGCCGGCCGCCCAAAGTGCCCGCTGGACCCCTATTTCATCATGCCAGATAAGTGCAAGTGTGTGGACTTCCAGGTCCTGAAGCTGCAGGAGTCCCCCGACGCTGTGCCGCACGGCGAGATGCCCCGACACTTGCAGCTGTACTGCGACAGGTACCGGCGCGGTCTTCCCACCTCACCCTTCATGGCTAGTGGGTGCTGCTGGTGCCGTCGTTTCCCACGCTACCATCCTTTGCTGTCCCCTTGCTTCTCTTAGGTACCTGTGTGACAAAGTTGTCCCAGGGAACAGAGTCACTATCATGGGCATCTACTCCATCAAGAAGTCTGCCCAGAGCAAGAACAGAAGCCGTGACAACGTGGGCGTGGGCATCCGAAGTGCTTACATCCGTGTGGTGGGCATCCAGGTGGACGTGGAGGGCTCAGGTGAGGGCCACTTTTGGTGCCCGTCTGGTCTGTGTTGGGAGAACCCCCTTCCTGAACAAGGTGGTCCTTCAGCAAGGACTGTGTGAAATCACAGCCTAGGTCCTTCTCTGCTGCTTATATAGCAAAATGTTCGAGCCAGTCCAGGGGTCTAACTTGCCCTGGATGCTCTGTAGTCATGTCCTGTATGACTTTTTCCTCAGTGATACTAAATGAGGAGGCTTCAGACTGAGTCCTCCAGGGTATTTAAGTGCTTTTATCTTATTGATCTTAATGGAAATCTGCTAAGCCATCCCAGAGGATCTGGGCTGAAGTCGATGGTTAAAATTGAGCTATGTATTTAAAACGTGGTCCTGACTGTAATTCTCCCTCTGGTTCCTCCAGAGCTGATTTGCCCAAGATCCTTGCTTTTTCCTACCAGCCTCCAAGGACAGAGCCTGCCTTGCTGGGGTAGCTAACACCTGCTCTCTCCACCCTTCCCACCTGGTGGCACTTAGCGTGATTTTTTCAAGAAGGGATTTTGGTGGTAGCAGGTGTGGGGGGAGTGGTGTAATTTGCTTTAAAACATCTATTTGTTCAATGTTGCTTCATTCTCCTCATCCCTGTACAGGACACAGCTTTGCTGGCTCCGTAACTCCTCAAGAAGAGGAGGAACTTCGTCGCCTCGCTGCCATGCCCAACATCTATGAGACAATCGCCAAGAGCATCGCACCTTCCATCTATGGCAGCACTGACATCAAGAAAGCCATTGCCTGCCTCTTATTTGGAGGCTCTCGCAAGAGGTGGGGAAGAGTGAGCCTGGTGGAGAGAGAGTGGTGGCAGGGGTGTCGTTCAGGGCACAAAGCCCTTGTACAGTCTTCTGGCGGCGCTACCAACCACCTGCCACATGTCAACAGTGCTTGGTTATCAAAACGAAGGCTCACCATCCCTCCCCTCTTTCCCACCTTGTTGCGCCAGGCTCCCGGATGGACTGACCCGCAGAGGAGACATCAACTTACTGATGCTGGGTGACCCCGGCACGGCCAAATCCCAGCTGCTGAAGTTTGTTGAGAAGTGTTCGCCCATTGGGGTAGGTGGTGTAGTATGGCTTGTTTGTTTGCCTTCTGCTCCCTGCCTAGCACCAAAAGCCAGACCGTGATCATAGCAGATCCCTGCCCGTGCATCTGCAGCTAGACTGGCTGGCAGAGGGGTGAACTGCCGTTTCTGGTGCTAGGCTGGAAGAGATGGGGTGCAGGACGCAGCGGGGGGGGAAGCAAGTAATACCTTTCATTATGGTATGAGCCAGGCTATATTTGCAGACGTCCAAAGATGGGACTGGTGCTGCTGTTTATTGTTGAGACTTGATCAGTGGAGAGGCTGGCTGGTCAGGACAAATGAGTTGGACTGCATCTCAGGCACGGACCTCCAGGCTGAGCCCAGGCATGAAATTATATTTTCAGCTGCGTTTTCTTGTAGTCTCTATTAAACTCGGCCTCTGACTGCGTTGTTCCCTGAGGGAGAAAACAAAGCTAATGCAGCAGCCCACCAAACAATGAATCACTCCCTGTTCTGTACTTAATACCTGTATTTGTGTGTCTGCAAGCCCTTCGGTGCGTCACAGCTGCTTAGTCCAAGGCCTGGGACTAGGCAATAGTCTCACTCTGTACCCAGCAAGTCTGCTTTTGGCGTGTGCTCAGGGGTTTTCCTGGAGGTCCTTGTGTTTCCTCCGGCAGCTCTGGATTTTGCGGTGCCAGGAGTGAATTGTCCTCCAGCTGGAGCGGTGGGCTCCTGGGTCCCATGGTGGCTGACATGCTGTCCCCTTCCTTGTCCCGCATGCTGCTAGGTATACACCTCGGGGAAAGGCAGCAGCGCTGCCGGCTTGACGGCCTCAGTGATCCGTGACCCTTCCTCCAGGAGTTTCTTCATGGAGGGAGGAGCCATGGTGCTGGCGGATGGTGGAGTGGTGTGCATCGATGAGTTTGACAAGGTACCCGTGGGGCTGCCTGTGTGGGAGTGGGGAAGAGAGCCCTTGGGCTGCCAGCTGCTCCTGGGAAAGCCCAGAGTTGCAGGAGAAAGAGTGACTCTCCTGAGACTGCCTCGCTTTCTTTTGGGGAAGGTCAGGGCATGAGGCTGCAGGGAAGTTCTGGTTACACCTGCACTCCTGGGCAGAGGTCCTAGCAGAGCTTTACCTTGGAGGTCAGCATTGGTGGGTGTGTACCTGAAGGTTGGTGGTGGTGACTGACGGTGACTTTTTTCCTCCCTGCCTCATTTCCCCCACCTTGGATGAGAAGATGCGGGAGGATGACCGTGTGGCTATCCACGAGGCTATGGAGCAGCAGACCATCTCCATTGCTAAGGTGAGCTGTGGGCACGCATCACCCTGGGACGGCCACCTGACCCGCCACCAGCTTTCTGAGAGTGCAGCAACCAGTGGTCATGCATCTTTTGCTGGAATTGCCCATTTTAGAGTCTAGGAAGTGGGCTTGGTGGTTACTGGTTTCTCTGATCTGAGACTGGTCAGCCCTGCCTGTAAGCTTTGGGTTGTTTTCCCTCAGGCAGCCTGAACTTTAGCAGGACTGAAATGAGCTCCCTCTTCTCTGCCTGTCCTCTGCCCCTCTAGAGTTAGATGTCCCTGTGTCGCAGTCTGATTTCACTTCCTTTTCTTCCTTCACACTGCTTTTCACCCACTCAGGAGATCTACAGAAACTGCCTGACATCCTGGTGTCAGGTCTTCGCTCAGATCAGAGTTTTGGTTCATTTCCCATTTCCACTGCTCAGCCTTTTTTTTTTTTTTTTTTTTTTTTTTTTTTTTTTTTTGTGGCAGCTCCTCCCTCCTGGTCACTCTGGCTGACCCCTTAGCTGTTCAGTCCCTGGTAGAAGAGCACCCACCAGGGCTTTTCCTTGCTGGTTGCTCTTGCCCTGCTACCTACAAGCCCGCACTTTGCCCCCAAAGCTGCCCAGGGAGACTCAGCGCTGGTTGCCCAGTTTCTGGCTTAGAATGCAAACTTGGGGTGGGGTCTTGTGTGTGTCCTTGCCCTTGATGTGAGGTTTTACATGAAGTTACTCAGTGCTTAAGTCTCAGCTGAAGCCAGTCCTGCAGAAGGACACGCGGGTCCAGTCCCATGTAGCTCCTGTGCTGACCCCTCTTTAGTGTGACACCATTACACAGCAATTGGGTGCTACATAAGGGGTTTTATTTAAATGCAAGTGATGGAGGGTGAGTCCTCGCAAACTGCTTTGGACCTTTCACTACGAGTTAATAGCCTTCTAGCCCTGCTGTGACATAGATGTGGTCTTGACCATTTCTCCTTCCCCCAACAGGCAGGAATCACAACCACACTCAACTCCCGCTGCTCAGTGCTGGCAGCTGCCAACTCTGTCTTCGGGCGCTGGGACGAGACCAAGGGCGAGGAGAACATTGATTTTATGCCCACCATCCTGTCCCGATTTGACATGATCTTCATCGTCAAGGATGAGCACAACGAGGAACGAGACATGGTGGGCTGGGGCATGTGGGTGCAACTGGGACTTGTGGTGCCCCATTTTTTGGGGGGGGGAGGAAGTGGGGTTTCCAGCTCCCTGACTGCCCTCTGCTCTCCTAGACGCTGGCCAAGCACGTGATGTCCTTACACGTGAGTGCCTTGACACAGACCCAGGCTGTGGAGGGCGAGATCGAGCTGAACAAGCTGAAGAAGCTCATCTCCTTCTGTCGGACGTGAGTGAATGACTTTTTGGCAGTGCCAGGGCTGCAGGGTGGGAGGCAGTGGTGAGAAGTGAACCACACAGCTGATATCTGCTCTATCTGGGTGATCTTTTTTTGACTCATGCCTGGGAAAAAGGGAAGTGAGAGCAGCTTGCAAAGGTGCCACAGTGTGGCCCAAGAAAGCAAGGGATGCCTGAGGGCCACCCTTGCCCAGCGGACCCTCCCTGGTGGCTGCCATCTCCAGCTCCTGTTGCCCCTTGTAGGAAGTGTGGCCCTCGGCTGTCAGCAGCGGCGGCGGAGAAGCTGAAGAACCGCTACATCCTCATGCGGAGTGGCACTCGCCAGCACGAGCAGGAGAGCGACCGCCGTTCCAGCATCCCCATCACTGTCCGGTGAGCAACCCTGCCCTCCTTACCCCACCAAAACCCTCGGGGTTGCATTGCTGGGTGTCACCTGGAGGTGTCGCCCGGGAGAGGAGTTAGTGGGGTGCTGAGGTTTGAAAGAGGCAACACTGGAGGCACTACAGAGTGGGGCAGGAGGTGCCGGGAGTGGGGTAGGTGGGGGTACCACGGGTTGGGGGGAAGGAGGAGGTGCCTTGAAGCTGCAGTAGAAAGCAGGGAACGTCTCCTTTGGCCACAGGCAGCTGGAGGCTATTGTGCGCATTGCCGAGTCCCTGGGGAAGATGAAGCTTCAGCCCTTTGCCACCGAGGCAGATGTTGAGGAGGCCTTGCGGCTCTTCCAGGTGTCCACGCTTGATGCGGCCATGTCGGGCAGCCTGTCAGGTGAGGGGGAGATGCTCTGTGCTAGGGGAAGGAGGGACATGCTGGACCTGGCAGCTCAGGTCAGGGAGAACCAAGCTTCCCTCCCAGGACCAGGCTGGCAAGGGGGGAATATGCTATCAGGCACGCCCCAGGTAGAGCTGGACCTGCTCTCTGAGCAAAGGCAAAGCAATGCCTGTGGCAGCAAGAGGCCATCGTGGCCGTGGGACAGCGGCTCACAGGGAGAGCAATGACACCGAGAGTCTCCACCTGTGCTGGGCAAGGGAGGGATGGTCTCGCCCCGTGTGGTGCCAAGGGCAGAGTCCAGTGCTGGTGGTGTTCTATAACCTGTTTGTCTTCTAATCTGTTCCCTGTGGGGGTGGAGAAAATGCTTCCTTGGGAAGCAGTGCAGCATGAAGGGTTTCAAGGAAGCTCCAGCAGTCAGGTCCATGTTCAACTGTGTCTTTGAGGCTCCACAGCCTTTGATGGTGGATATGCTCGTGGGTTTCCTAAAGTCTCTGAGACATGCAGGTGTGGTGGGAGAGATGGGAAAGGGGCACTCTGGCTTTGAGAGTGACATCTGGGCGGTGCAGAGAGGTCACACAGCCTTTCCTTCCAGGGGCAGAAGGCTTCACGACGCAAGAAGACCAAGAGATGCTGTCCCGCATTGAGAAGCAGCTCAAGCGCCGCTTCGCCATCGGCTCTCAGGTGTCGGAGCACAGCATCGTCCAGGACTTCATGCGGCAGGTGGGCCAGGGACCCTGCGGAGGGTTGGGCTGTGAAACCAAGCGTCCCAGTCTGCCTCTTAAGGGGTCAAACCCATTCCTTAAGAGGTGCCTAGAGAGCCTTTTGGTCATACCTGCTTTTGAAGTTGTTTGTAGGGAGTGGTGTGCAGTGTGATTGCAGAGTATAAGGGGAGTAAGGCGAGAACTCAGTTTTCTGCAAAAGCACTGAGGTTGGGAGCTCTTCAGGTAGTTTGGGGTCCTACCCTTGAAACCAGAACAGTGTGATTTGTGAGACTGGCCGCAGTCAGAGCTGAAATAGTGAAAGGGGGAGAGTGTCGATGCCTGGTGCTACCGGGCTCCTGCTCTCTGGAGAGACACAGGCAGGCTTTAGCGGTGGTTGCAGGTTGCCGTTGGGCTCTGGTGAGTTTTTCCCTGCCGGCTCATTTCCCCCTTTCTCCCCTTTTCCAGAAATACCCAGAACATGCCATCTACAAGGTGCTGCAGCTGATGATGCGGCGGGGAGAGATCCAGCACCGCATGCAACGCAAAGTCCTCTACCGCATCAAGTGACCTCCCCATCCCACGTATGGGGAGGGAACCGCTGCTGCCTGTGGGCAGAGAGCCCTGTGGGGTCTGTGCCTGCTCCAGGAAGAAGCTTTTCCTGGGGGAGCCAACCAGCCTTGAGCCTCCCTCTTGAACCAGGGTTTGGGGCAGTCGGGGTTCCCCTTGGGTGCTCTCTCCATGTGTCACATCAATGTTTCTTTGAACTCCACAAGCTTTTAGTTTGTATTAAAATAAAAACTGATAGTGGTAGCCCAGGGTCTCTGGCTACCTGGAGGGACAGGGGACGTATCCCCTTCCCCCATTGGAGGCAGTGGAGGATTTTGAGTGGGAAGACATTCCTCCTGCTCACCCTGCGTTGCCCAGCGCCCACCCTGGCCACTTGTAGTGGGATACGGACCCGTGAGCAGCACCGGCAGCACAAACAGCCCTGAAGGCAGAAACTCCTATTTCTCACTTGGGGTTTGATCTGTCTATTAAGGCATAAAGCCTTTTGGCACAGGCTGCCCTCTTGGGCTCAGCTGTGTGGGAAGGCACCTTACCCAGTTGCTGTGGGCAGGCTGCTGCCATCTTCCCCACCTGCGAGCAGCAGTGAAGGAAACGACCTGCTGTTCCTTGCTTCGAAACTGCTCTTTGCTTAACCCTCCCTTCCATCTCCCTAGGACTGCCAGAGGCAAATGCTTTACCCTGCAGTATAAAGGGCTTTGTAAAAGCCTTGCTGGAGGCATGGGCGAAAACCCCTGGTTGCTTTGTGGGGTAGAGCAGTGCCAAGTGAGGATGGGGATGCAGGGTGGTGTCCAAGAGCTGTGTGCTGTCCTCCCCATGCCTCTGCCACCTTGTCTGTGCTTTGGCAGCCATGGGGAGGGGTGTCCCACTCGCCAGGAGCCTCCCCTGGGCTTTCTGCCCTGGGGTGCACTTGTGCAGCCACTTGCCCTTCTACACTTGCTGCATGACCTTGCACTTGTCCCACTCCGCAGGTTTTTGTCACTTACAGCAAAGTAGTATTGGTTCTCTTAAGCGTCCTCCCGAAGGTGGGAGATACAGGTAGGTCCCTGCCCTTGGCAGCTTGGTGTCAGCTCAAATGTGTGAGAGTGCTGGTGGGGGACGCTGAAAACAGTGCAGCGTTGGGCATTGCAGACAAGCCAAGCTGCTGCGGGTGCTGGAGAGGCTGAGGCTGCTGTTATGTCTGCAAGTGACCTTCGGCTGAAAACACGCCCCAGGAGAGGCTTCATTAGCAAAAGAAACGTTCGGGGCCAGCAGAGGGTACCAGAGCCTTGAGGATGCTGGGCTGTGGTACTGCTCGCAGGGCTGCCTTCTCCAAGAGGGGAAACCAAGGGCTGGGGTGGTGGGATGCAGGACGCAGCCAGCTTCGGAGCTGTTGCACAAGGGCTGGGCTCCCCTGCGACCCATAGGTACTGAACAGTATCCCTGTTGGCTTCTGTTTTGGGTGTTTTGAGAGGTACGCGGTGCCCTCCAGGCGTGGCTGGAGCTGGTTATGGGGTCAGGGGTCTGTCTGCAGGGAATGGGGCAGTAGTGGCCCTGATGTGGTAGGCTGCACTTTAGAGAAACAACCTCCTCTTCATTCTCTTTTTTTTTTTCAGACGGGCTCAATGTTTGTGGAGGGCTGGAGGGGAGAGGAGGCTGGCCCACAGGCTCCCTGCGGGGTTGGATCTCCGGAAACCTCTCCAGGGTGATTTTATAGCCCTGTATTTTTGCAGGTGCCAGGCACCTCATGGGGCTTCTTGGAGCAAGCAACACTGGGGCAAAAGCAGGCACTCTTCTTTTCCCTTTGAAAAAAAAAAAAAAAGAGATGCTTTCTCTCCTCACACTGGTCCCCGGCTGGGGATGCAGCTGCCCTAAGCTGCTGCTCCACGGAGAGGGTCGGCTCCATGGATGAGGAATAAGTGGAAGTGAGAATAACAGGGCCATATCCTCACCTGGAGACTGAAGTTCCCAAAAACTGCCAGTGTCTGCTTGGAAGCATCCCACCCCCTTCGCAAACTCCTGCGCACCTCATGGAGCACTTGATATTGCAGCATCAGGAGGTGGCCTGATAGAGCAGGGTCAACACGATCCCAAAGCAGCAGCGAGCTGTAGTAACGGTCCTACAGGCCTCTCAGCCCCTGCCACCCTTCCCCAGTGCCTCTGTCCTTGCTCTGGAGCTGCTGGCAGTACCCATCTATCTACGGTCCCTCTTCCAGAGGTGCAGCAAGAGCAAAGCAAGCAGGGAGGTGAGTATGGGATTGGTACCCCCAGTCTGCTGTTAATGCTGCCTATGGAGGAGGCTGGGAGCCTCCGTTCTCAGGCTTGGAAGGAGGAGGCTGGGAGCCTCCGTTCTCAGGCTTGGAAAGAGCAACCAGCGATGTGCTGCCATTCAACGAGACCTGGACAGGCTAGAGTTGAGCGGAGAGGAACCTAGTAAAGTTCAACAAAGGCAAATGTATGGTCCTGCACTGAGGGAGGAATAACCCCATAAACCAGTACAGGTTAGGGGTTGACCTGCTGGAAAGCAGCTCTGTGGAGAAGGACCTGGGGGTCCCAGTGGACAACAAGTTGACCATGAGCCAGCAATATGTCCTTGTGGCCAAGAAGGCCTATGGATCCTGGGGTACGTTAAATAAGGTCCTATAGAAGAGAAGATCTGATTTTGTAACATGACGCAGACAGGCACTCCTGCACCCACTTCAGTAGCCTTCTGTGTCTGGCTGTGAAAGTTACAATACTAAAAATCAAAGAATTTTAAGATATCTTATGCCTTGGTTATGTGTTGATATAAAACCAAACCAAAACAAAACCAAACCCCCAAAACAACAAAAATCCCAAAACACATAGAGCTCAACTTGATGAAAAGCATTATTCCTTACTGCTGGAAGCATCATTAGCATACCTGAATGATATTTATTCGAGCCCACAGGTTTCATCCACTTGAACATGAGTTTAGTGCGATCAGACGTATTTACAGTGAACAAGCTTACACTGGCACCGATTCTTAAATAACTTGAAATTTCTTCAGTAACTAATGACCTCAATCATACCAAATGTTTTTGTTATGCTACACAAGTCCTTCACATAATTATCGTAAAAATGTAGTTAGGAAAATGCATTCAGCTACTTCAGAAAAATTCCTTGGCTGGGACAGGGACTGAGGAGGGGAACACAGTGCAAAGTGCTCCATTTCCATCACTCTTCCTGCTTTCTTACCTTCTTTGCTTTCCTCCACCTGCAGACTTCCCCCCAGCCTATCCCCTGTGCTGGAGCAGTAGTGTGTGGCTGGATTTTGGCTGCTGACCACTAGTGGTGGTCATGTGGTGCTCATGGGTTTTAAAAGAGCCAACATCTCAAGGTACATCAAGCTATGCTGCATGTTGGCAGGTGCGGAGGTTGGAAATTCTGTTGGTTGTTTTTTTTTTTGTGTTGTTTTCATGACATGATAGGGAGCAGAGGTATATTTCTGTGACGGGGATCAGAATGATTGATCTCTTCGTGCTATGAAATGTGTTGATTATATGGTACGAGGTTATGTAAGTGTACGTACAGCTTAAAACAACATTGTTTAGCAACTAATGTATGCAGCTCTATCACAAGAAGCGGAGCTGGGATGTGCGCAACTGGCATTATCTTAGAACTTGAGATCATTGATTAGTAATGGCTTGTTTTGATCATTGCGCTGCAGATGGAAATTTTGGGAGGAAAAGCAGTTCTCTTTTGGGTAGAGTGGTAGTGCTTAATGGTATCTACTTGATAAGGGATTGGTGGTCCTCTTGGTGAAGATGACCAGATTTCTGCTCAAATGATAGCTACTTAATAAAGGAGTGGTCGTCCTCCTGGAGAAGGTGTCTCTTCTTGGTCATTCCTGACATTTTGGCATGCTGAGACTTGGGACAGAGTCGTTGTCTGGGTGTCCTTAGATGACCAAAACTATTGTTCTCAAATCCAAGGCCAACCGGGAGAGTAAAACCAGACAGATGTAGCCATTTCACATCTGAGCAGTGCAGCATTCCCTTACCTAGCCTACAGAGCTGACCTTGTCCCTTCCTTGACTGAGCAATGTGTCACTGGCACAAGGGGCCTCTTCCCCACCCTTGGCTTGTCTCCTTGGGAAGTACAGCTGGGTGAGTGTAACCACCCCGAACCAGGCAGTTGGCAGGGATGCTCTGCTGTCTTTGGCTCAAAGCTTGAGCCTGTGTAGGAACCACCCATATTAGCCCCTGAAGAACTTGCAGATTACGTTTAATTCTGTATGAGATGTGTTAATCTGCATGAGCAGAGGGGAGTTTCTCACTCCAAAGAGAGCCAGTGCGCTGGGTTCTTGCCAGCCTTTTTGGTTCTCTATGGGAGGGCCGGGTTGGGCTTCATCTGACCAGGCATCAAGAGCTGTGTCTGATCAAGGCACTGTCTGCGTCAGGGCAGGGGAGACAGCAAGCTGTTTTATCCAAAGTAAATGTTTAAAAGAAACCAGAGAAGCTGTGCCCTAATTGCATTTGTTTTCTCTCTGTTGACTACGAAAGGAGGTCAGGGCAAGTAGATCAAGTAGGTATTTTTGCATCATAGGCGTCTCAAACTGGGGAGATGTGCACGTCCTTCCTCCCTGTGTGGCTGCACTGCTGTATTGGAGGAGAAGGGCTTTGATGAAGGCTTGCTTTGGATGGCTAACTTTGGGGCAGCTTCACTAGGTTCGATTCTCTTTTTTCTTACACCAAGCTCATCAGAATATCTCTGTGGAAATGTCAGCGGAGCTCCACTACAGTAGAATCTAGCAAAGCTGAGTCATCACATCTGCACCGCTCGGATCTCTTTCGTCTACATGTAGGATGGGAGCTGTTGCAATGTAGCAACATAACCTCTGAGTGTGTTGTGAGTGTCACTTCCTCCATAAAATAAAACAAGACCGAACTGCAGAGTCCTAAGGGCTATTGCTCAAGGATGTGAGATAAACACTGGCAAGTGGAATATGCTGATACGGGCAATGTGAGAAATTATCTGAGCTGGTCCACCAGGCACCGATCTCAGACAAAGGGTTCCTTCCCCCTTTCTGCTACTGACTTACTGGGCCAGTTGAGCAACCAACTTCATCTCCTTGTCTGTCTTGGATAATAACCTTTTCAGAGCACAGACCACT